TGACAATCCTCCAGGGTACGATCTTATGTCCGAAGAGGAGAAGGCCAGACAAGGAGTCTATGTTGAGATGCCAAGGGGTTTTGCAAAGGATGGCAAGGTCTTACGGCTGAGGAAGAGCCTCTATGGTCTAAGACAGTCACCGCGCAACTTTTTTAACTTCCTTAAAAACAACCTAGAAGCAGTTGGATTCAACCCTGCTACTGAGGTAGACCCCTGTCTGTTCATTTCGGACAAAGTTATCTGCCTGGTCTATGTCGATGACACCTTACTCTATGCTCGAAACCAGGATGACAATTGGTGCTGAAGAGGAGGATGATGCTCGCTGGGTTCCTAGGGTTGCAGATCAAGCCAAATGCTGAAACTGGAGAGATAACCTTGACTCAGTCTGGCTTGGCTGCCAGAATCATTTATGCATTGGGATGTAAGGACATGCCTGGTGTGGACACCCCTGCGACTGAAACTCTGGGAAAAGATGAGTTTGGCGATCCAAGCAAATTGCACCTTTAACTATGCCAGTGTGATCGGCATGTTATATGTACCTATATGGTCACTCCAGGCCAGATTTAGGTTTTTCTGTCAGCCAAGCTTCCCGGTTTGCTTTCAACCCAGGAGGAGCCATGAGCTCGCTCTATCCGCATTGGCCAGTATTTGGTGAAGACCAGGAGAAAGGCCTCACAATGAAGCCAATTACCCCGGATTCCTTCAAGATGGATGCCTATGTGGATGCAGACTTTATGGGTCTGTATGGGAAGGAGACAAGACCGATCCTGCCAATGTCAAGAGCAGGACTGGCTTTGTCATTTGCCTCAATGACTGTCAATAGTCTGGGCGAGCAAACTGCAGCAGAGCATCGCCCTCAGCACCATGATCGGAGTACTATGCCTTAGCCACCTGTATGATGGAGGTGACCCATTGCGCAACACAGTGAAAGCGTCGCCAAAGGATGGGCATTAATGAGCATTGCTTGACCTCGTCAAGACCACAGTCTGGGAAGACAACGTGGGAGCTCAACTCTGGCAAACCTGGAACAGGTCAAAGCACTCCTCGCTCAAAATTCTATGATGTGAAGGTGCATTGGTTCGCAGCCATCTCAGCCTGGTAAGCTCGGGGTGGCGAAAATCGACACAGCAGACAAGCTCGCTGACATGTTCACCAAAACCCTTAGCGAGAGAAGCTTCGAACGGCTTCGACTTCGTTTAATGGGCTGGTAGCGTGCTACAGTTTTTTCAGCTCGCGGAGTAAGATATTTTCTTCTCCTCTGGCTCGAGCTGCATGTTGTCGTCGCGTTGGAGCTAGCGAAGAGATGTTGGCGTCGTTCTACTGGTGCGCACGTCATTGATTGCGCGCACAAGCTAGATCTCGCCAAAGAGGGAGAACTCCTTTTTCTTTTTTCGCCAACTCCAACTCTACCAAATTGATTGCGTCACGACAAGGGCACTCCAACGTCACCATGTCACGTCGCGCGCGATCTCCACGCTGTAATTTTTCAAATTCAAGTCGCTGCTAGCGCAAAAGTTGATTTCCATCTGGACGTCGAAAACTACCACGCTGAGAAACCACGCCAATCAACACCGTTTTTTGCGAAGTGGGTCTCGCTCCAGAGGGAGCTCAACAACAACAACTTGATTTGAAGGCTCACAAAATCGAAGTGGACCTACAATAGAAGGACTGCTACGACCACGACTGCACACACCCTGCATTTTATTATCTGTGCATATCTACTCCATCTTGAGATCGACCATGAAGCGCACCGGAAAGAACAACCAAAGCAACAAGAAGAACCGTCGCAAGGTGCTTGTGGGTACTCCCAAGCAAGTTCCAGTTGCCGCTGAAGCTCCTCCGAAGAAGCCAGCTCCCAAGAAGGCTACCGTGAAGAAAGCAGCTGGGAAGAAGCAAGCTACCTTGAAGCCAACCGCGGTTACCCCTGTTGCAAAGGCCGACCCTGCTGACAAGGTTGACGTGGGAACGTTGCTACAAGACCCTGCCGTCAACAAGCTCCTCGCCATGATAACCAACCAGCCTGGTCTGTTCACTCAGGTCGCCAATTCAGCTGCTGCAGTCGCCGATACTTCAGCAGCATCCAACAACGACGACTCGGTCTCCGAAACCAGCGTCGTGGAAGTCGTCGCCGTCACTTCCAAGAAGGTCCCCAAGACAACTAGAGCTGGAACTGCCGTCGCGATCAAACAAGAAAAGCAAGCCTGCCGGGAATGACAGCCGAAGCTCGACACCGACAAGCCTGTTGTTCTAGTTCGATGCCTCCAGCTCAAGATAGCAGCGCAACCTCACAGTCGAGATGTCGGGAAGCGTTGGTTCAGGACTTCCTTACAACCCACCAGGTCGAAGACGTGGTCTGAGCGGACTCGACATCGAGACCAAAATTGGAGGTCGCTCCGCGCTCATCTCCAAGCTAGTGGCTTTCATGAAAGACACTGTGTACAAGACTCGTATCCCTTCTGTCACGAAACGTCGAACTTGTCTCCAGCATTTCATGCGCACGGAGTTCAACTTTGGGGTCTCACCATTAAGAACAGCGCAAGGTGCTCTCCAGGAGGACGGGACGTGCTACGCCGCCTCGGAGAATGACTATGAATGGAACGACCCTGAGCAGCCATTCATTGAAATTGACGACGACAATGATGAAGAAGAGGAGCAGACGAAGACGAGGACGAGCACGAGAGCGAGAATTAAACGAGGACGAGGTTATCTACGAAAATACAAGAGATGGAGCCACTACCACTACATTGCATGTTTTGTGTTTGTTTAGAGTTTGACATCGTTGTGCAGCAAAGAGGACTACGGTACAAAATTTGCTACCCCGTTCGTTCAAGAGGGAGTGCAGAGGAGCCAAAACCAGCTGGTGGTTGGCAATCACGAGGTGAACCTCCCGGGACTCGCTAGAACGAGGTAGACGTAGAATCCCTTTTAATTTTTAGCTTATTCTTTTGTGTCATCCCATGTCTACATCGTACTGCACATCGGCCTCCGTTCGCAACGGAGCTGCATCCTGAGAAGACAGCCACGATCAGTTTGCATGACGGCTACTGGCGGAGCTCCTTTTAAAAGGTTAAAGACTGACTGGCCGGTGTCATCTAGCTAGTAGACCTACCGGTACTCACAAAATCAAAGGAAATGCAAGCACAACACATGTTGCCTTCCTGCCCTTCAACAACATCCACCTCACCTAACTCACAACGCCCACTCTAACCAAGTACTAATACTCACATTAATCCCATCTTTACTCACATCGTCTGTGTAAGGCAAGGCGCCATTGCTGTCCATATATTGAAAAATGCCCGAACAAGAATTTACCGTTCCATTCCTTGCGGATGTTTCTTCCTTCTATGGGTACATCTCCTCTCCTCCGGATCCACAGACTCCTTCTGCCAAAGATGTTATTCTAGGGCGTGGGGGAAAGAAGCACGAACACAGTGGCAATGTTCGGCTTCATGAGATGGCCCTGGAAATGATATCTCAGTACATGACAGCCAGAAAGCACGAAAAGAGGCAACTCACAGAGCAATTGGTCCGTCAGGTGCATCAGTATGGAGGCCGCTTTATGGCGCAAGCAGTTGATAATGGTCCGTGGGAAGTGGAAAATTTTGAAAAAGCAAAGGCCAAGGCACGCGATTGCCTCCACGGCATCATCATGTCCAGGACCCCCAAGAAACTGATGAGGGAGCGTCTTTGCAATCCAATTGTCGATTTGGAAGATGCCGCTGATGGCAGTTGGACCCATGTGGATGAGGGCATGGGCGGTGATACTGACATGGAATTCCCCGATTTTGAAGAAATTTTGGAGCTGTAGGCCTCTTTTTTTCTTTCGGATTGTGTGTGCTGTGTTCAATTCTATGGTTTCGGTACGCTAACTTAACTCGTCAGGTAGTTTAATTGTTTTAGAGAGCGATCTTGCATACCAGAATAGGGATGCTTGTTGCTTCGGGCCAGCTGAGTGTTGAATGCCCTATCTCCGCTTTCTCTTGCTTCCTTAGCACTGCCTCCACGACAAGCTCCAGTTCTTTCCGCTTCAAGTACATTGAGCGTCTAGCTTGCTAGCTAGAGGCTATAGCTGGTGGGGTCTATCGTCGACTTCGCAGCCTTGGTCCACTGTGCCACTGCCACACGGTGCATGCATCGTGCTGCTCTACTCTGCAGTGGTTCCAGTTACACCAACGCCTAGGTACCCCCAAACCCTGGCATAGCCAACCCACCTGGCTATACATACTGGGCCAGGTTCGTACAACGATTGCGTATCTTCTCAGATCCCAGACGCTTGCCAGGGAATAGGCCGCATCGTTACACCAAGCATCTTCTTCTCGACTTATCGCCGAGGCAGCCTGGTTGTGAACGAAGTATCCTTCATTGATCGACTTTGGCAGCATCGTAAAAGGGTATCGCAGAAACGGATTTCGAGAGTGAGTTTCTCTTTCAGCCTACCGGTACCGTAGCTAGTGCTTCGGAGCAAACTAGAACGTCCTGAGAGCCAGTCTAACGCACCCAAAAATGAGCCATGATATACCCTCCCGACCCCATAACGTCATCAAGATTCCGGAATGCAAGGCAATTTGCTCATCAGACGGATCTGCGTCAGTTTGCATGAAGGCCATGTACCATAGCTGCGGCTGCGTACAACGCATAGCTTGGAGTGCGTGTCGCCGCATGGAAGCCACCCACATAGCTAATTTCCCTACTCTAAACCCCTTCTCCCACATAGATACGTTGATGTCTTTAGAACTGAGACGTGCAGCACAATGGTCTGAATGTGAGACGCTTCAGTCGGGGAATTTTCGCCTTGCTCTTGATGGTGATACGGCATTATTATCACTTCCAATGTCATAAATAATGTTGTGGGAACGATTCTCCAAGGATTTAATGCAAATTTGTCCCAGCACACAAAAGTATCCATGGACCAGGTGGGCACTCTAGCCACCAGTAGCTAGTAGAAGCACGGAACAACATCCACTCACAACAAAATCACAAGGCAAGGCGTCATTGCTTTTCATACATCTTATCTTTGTTATTGGTGCTGCTGTCCCAACTCCACAGTTAGGCTGAGAAAATAGAATGTCAGAAACAGGTTTTGCCATGCCATTCATTGGGTACCATTGTTCCTTCTATTGGTACATGAACTCACTACATGTACTGCAGACTCCTTGTGACAACGATGTCATTCTGGGACGTGGGGGAAAGAAGCACAAACACGGAGGCAATGTTCAGCTTCAAAATATGGCCCTGGAAATGGCTTGTCAGTACATGAAAGCCAGCAAGTTGGAAAAGGGAAGAATTGCAGAACATTTGGTCCATCGGGTGCATCAGTACGGAGGCCGCTTTATGGAGCAAACCGTGGAGAATGGTCCATGGCAAGTGGTGAGTTTTGACAAAGCAAAGGCCAAGGCACGCGATGTCCTCCACAGCATCTTAGTGGATCCCAACAAACAATTGAGGGGCCGTATTCAAACCTTTTCCGTAGATGGCAATCCTTTTGCCGGGTTGGAAGATGGAACTTGGACCCATCTGGATGAGGGCATGGGTGGCGATGCATATACTACAAGTGCTACCTGCAATGACAACAATGCCGTCATGGAGAGTGACAGTTATGCAACACATGACATGGAATTCCCCGATTTTGAAGCTTTGGAATTCCCCGATTTTGAAGCTGTGGATGATTTGGAAATGTATGCTTCTTCTCTTTTCGGAGCATGGTGATATTGGTTTTCTCGTGTTTTCGGTACATGTACATGTAACTCGTGAAGTAGTTCTAATTGTTGTAAAGATTGATATTGCATACGAGGTACCGGTACTCACAGCACAGCCCCCAGCGGAATGCAAAGCACATCCCATGTTTCTTGGCCGCAAATTGCACTTGGAAGGAGGTGGACAGTCACAGCTTGTGAACGGGCAGGCCTCCAGCTTCCTTTTCTTGCACCAGAAACAAAGGCAACCAGCCTTTTGACCCCTTGATGCCACAAAATGGGAATCCCCCCACGAACAGGTGCATCGGGATCCGAAACTCTCGTGCTGGACCACCCTGTCGCTTCAACCCAGTGTTTGCTATGGTACTACTGTGATTGTGTCGGAGCAAATGTGACTTGCAAGGATTGGCTATTATTGGATATTCCCCACTTCGGCACGGCCCGTACCGGTATGCTGGTACCATACTTGCTGACAACTACATGTATCTTTGGCAGTTTGGGCGCTCACGTACATCATGTGATCGAAGTACACTGTAATGCAGTGATCGACTTTGGCGGCATCGTACGGCATTGCGGAAACGGATATCGAGAGTTTCTCTGTTCTTCCCAGTACCGTGGCTATGCATCGTAGCACCCTGGAACGGTCAGGAGACGACATTGCGAGTCGACATCAAGCTAACCTTAACCTCGCAGAGTGAGGCAATAGTCTTTCGTCCGTCCAGCGAGCTAGTTACCAGTACGGCACTGCCAAAGCTGTCACGAAGAATGAAATCTATGTAATGCCGTTCGCTACCATGAATGATTCAATCCACCTTGTGTTTTACCCCAAACAGCTCGTCTCGTGCATCGTACCAGGCAGACACCGAAAGAAGCAGACACTGTGTAAACCTACTTCGAGTCATGGAGCCACGCAACGCGTGCTCCACGATCTTCGAGCAACGACGAAAGACTCTTGTAGGACGCAATCGCGATGATTGCCGCCGTACATGAACCTCGCTAGCTACATGTAGCTACTAGAGCCTCATTCCCGAACTACGGTAGTGGCAGTAGCTGTGTTGTAGAGATAGATTAGACAGTTGCAGTTGCGTTTTACTGTATTGGCAACAATACTGTTCGTTGGCGGTAATTGAGGTCTCTCGCTCGAACGACTCGACTCGACTCCAATTTGTGCCGACGCCGGTTGATACTGTATGATGGTTCGCGGCAGAAAGAGCCTAGGATACTGTCCGGCGACTTGTGCATTAGTTTGGGAAAATTGTTTCGCCTCCGATGATTCGATTCATTCATTGGTACCGGTAGCCAAGACAGAGGTTGTAGCCAGCTGCTACGGTAGCTACCACAGAAGACTGGTGGTTTCTTCCATGATATTGTGCAGCCGCCTTTGCTGTTGTTGTTGTTGTTGTGGCCCCGTCGTGGGCCAGCAAGTATTGATTTTCCCCCTTCCTCTTGTGGCTTCTTGTCTCAAACTAATGGCATATTTGGATGCTCGTCCCTGCCAATTGCATCTGCTGCAGTAGTCATTGCCGGAACAATCACTGCAGGTGGTGAATGTCTGTGCCTTTTCGGCGAGTATAAAATCGTAAATGACGAGATAGACTTCATCGGGAATGGCATCTGTAAAGGTTGCCGATTGTTCGAGTTTTTTAAACCCGGCATCGAGTAGTAGTTGTAGCGATGGATAGGATGTATTGGGAGATTGATCGGCCTCTTTCGCTAGGGGTCCCCACTGGAGTGAGGGTACCAAACTGAGTGGAGAAATGAGCACAAATTGATCTTTGGGAATGTTGTCTTGCTTACTGATCGTGTCGCGGGCATTCAGAATGGCTTGTGCACACGGAATGTAGTCTTCTTTCATTCGTTCGGGCCTCCATTGAAATGCCGCGTAGGGAGCTCCTTGTGAAATATTGAGCGAGTTGTGTAGCATGTAATCCACTTGATCGTAGTGTCGTTTGTGGAATCGGAGCAGTTGTTCGGGTTGAATGCCCCCCAGGGAATCGCTAATGAGTGGTGGATTCTTACCCGGCACATTGGGGACTCTCCATCGTCGCATGGAATCGCGTTCTTGGTAGTGAATTTCGAGGACTGTGACTTTTCGTTTTTTGCGTGCATTTTTTGCGGCCTTGTCAATTTCGACCTGTTTGTTTTTCCGATAGGTCGTTTGTGGTTCTCCCGGTCGACATCCCGATCGTGCCAGACACGCGTGGAATGTGTTTTGCTGGAGTTCTACTGAGTTGTCGAGTCGTCCGGTGGTGGCATTGTAGCGGTATCCCGTGGCGTGTGCGAATTCTTCATACGATGCGACGTGAGGGTAAACGGCTCGTACCCGGTCCAGGTCATAGACATCTCCAAATCGAATGGTTTCTGGTTTCATTGTTATTGTCATGTTCATTATTTGTGCTGAATTAGGATCAATGTATTGTCGACACGAGATGAGTCTCCCACCACCGATACACGGTTCCACCACGACAGCATCGGTGTACTTGGCCATGGCGAGTATTTCCTTGAATGTGATTTTCCAAGAGGCAATGCCTTCTCCCCACCGTAATACGTGAATCCACAATTTGGGTCTCTCCACTATTTGTGTTTCTTGTGGTACATGTACTTCTTGAACTTGAAGAAGAGCTGAGGAATCTGATGGCTGAGGATCTGGAGTTTGTACTGGAACTGCTACTGAAAGTTCAGAAGCTTCACTGGCTTTTTCAGGGACTGCTGCTGATTGTTCAGGTTCAGGGGCAGATGACTGAGGAGCTGATTCTGCTTGTTCAGGCACTGGTTCTTCAGGTTGAGGTCCTACAGATTCTTCAGGCTCAGGAGCTGCTGTCTCAGGAACATGTGGCTCTTCCTTTGTAGCTTGGGATAAGGTTAAAAACTTGGGGGTATCCTCTGTCTCGGCATGGCTGCTGTTGGCTGATGTGTTGGTACTGGTATTTGTATTTGTGGTGGCATTGGTACTGTTACTACTCGTACCGGTACTGGATAAGGTCAAGTTGGCACTTGAGCTTGTGAGATTGGTACTTGTATGATTGTAAACTTGCCGTTGTTTTTCGTGCGTTTGTTCCTTCTCGTCTCCAATCACAGAATTCAATAAGGAACTCAAGTTCGACACTTCTTCAAATCCCAACAGAACAAACAAGATACCCAGTACTGTCAGTGTTAACAGAGCTGTTGCGACGCTTCGTTTCATATTCATCGATCTGCTGCTAGCTAGTAGAAGTTGCAAAGAAGAAAATGATGGGTGCAACGTCGGCAGTAATATCACAAATAGCAATAATATTTTATTGTGAGGTTCCGCGCTTTCAAGAGACATCGTACAGTACTGCTGAGGTGGCTGAGCTGCTGAGACACGATGCACTGAGTAACGATGGCCTCGGCCAAGCACCAAACCAAGCTGCGACAATAGCCATACCGGCGACACCTCTATAGGAACCGCCAGCGATGCGGCTGCCCTACTAGCTACCACACTGTAGCTGGGAGCCACCAAATATCTAGAGGGTGGTCAATTTAAAATTCAAAGGTTGCTATTACAAGTAGCATCATGATGCAAACTTCAGTATCTATCTTGGTTTCTTTCTATACAAGTAAGTATACGTGCATATTAGGTTGCCAGACGACAATTCATTCAGGCGAGGCAAACTCAACTTTGGCTCTACACCGTCTCTTTCATCGTGGTTTGTGTTCATTTCACAGTTCATTTTGAAAAGGGCAGGTGTCACGCTTCCATCGATGCATGGCTGGCTCCAGTGCTAGCTATAGCAGGCAACAAGTACCGAGCCTACTCATCTGCACTGTTGCTGTTGCTATTGCTGTTGCTGTTGCTATTGCTGGCAGATGCACTGGTGCTATTGCTGGCAGGCCCATCGACACTGGTACTATTGCTGGCAGGCCCATCGGCACTGCTGCTACCGGTAGCGCTGCCAGATGGAAGACAAGTAAAGTTTGCAGCAGTCATCTCCGTTGTGAGCATTCCATACAACTCCAGCACTTTCTCCTGCCAAAACGGCTCCACACTCAAAGTCGACGCCATGGCGGCGACGGGCGGAATCATTGTGGTCACGGGGTCGGCAAGCGGACCCCACATGTCCCCAATGGTATTACTGCCCACAGTGTTGTCACGGGGGACAAAGTGACCAGGAAACTTCTCCTCTTCCATAAACTCCTTCAAGGCATGAATAGGCACCTCCTTGTACGTTTCTCCATTCGCATCCGTCTTGGTATCAAACCAAGTGCCTTGGCCTCCCGCAAACAAAAAGAGAAAGCAAAAGTTGGCCATGTTGCCAAGAAGACTACCCTCGAAATCTTCAAACGTAAACGTCCCATCACAGCGTTTCCTCGTCACCAGTTCGTACACGGCATGTCGCATCATATCCTTGGTGGTCACAGTCGTCTTGCCCGCATGGTACAATGGCTTGATCAGACGATCCAACTTGTCCTCGTCAAATTCATTGGTGGCATCGTCGTAAAACATGCTAGCGCTTGGTGGCAAGCCTCTGTTAGGATGATGATGGTGGTTGCAAGTAATAATAAATAAAATATGAGAAGTTGGTTATTCAGCAAGCACACAGTAAGCAACCTGATCTCATTGTCTTCCTGACAGTCTGAATTTCGTTACTTACGTCACCTGCAACTGGTCCAGGCTAAAGCTGTCGGGGTTCAAACCATCCAAGCTCGCCAAGAACAGACTGATCTGAACAATTCCGGGTTGAACTCCGAATTGTTTCCAGAGAGCATCCTCCACCATGGTCGAATTCAAGCCCGCACCATCGTGAGGGAGAATCCCATTGTTGGCCAACGTGTTCAACGCTGGACAGGGAGAACGCTTGTCATTGGGACCCGGTTCTTGGTAGTGGTAAGGATGATTGGCCACTACTGCAAGTGGTAGAAAGGCGGCTGCAAAGATTCCAAATTTCATCGTTAGTAACGTCTAGCTAGCTTTGTTGTGATTTTTGTTGTGTTGTTGTTGGTTGGCAAGAAATTGTGAGAAAAGATCCATGGCCAAGATACTTCGGAGTTCCGTACAAAAAGCTGTACCCTATCTTCATTTTGCTTTGCCAGTGGTTCCACGCCTCGGTCTTTTACTCCCTGACATGCTTCCGCACCAAGTGATCCCAACGGGTTAGCATGATCAATGAAATGACTCCCGGGCCACTGGTTACGGGAGAGGTTTAGCGGTATCGTACAAGTAAGCCATCCCACAAGCAAGCCAGTCGGAGATCCGTTACCGGTAGCGGTCGCCCCCACCATGCAAACTTGGGATATCGTCCCGAGAACTTGAAGCTTGCTCATGATTGATGAGGTTGCCCACGACGATTGTTGCTCGTTCTGGCACCGAGCAAATCTTCCTTCCTCGAAAGAACGATCCTCGTTATAACTCCGGCATTTTAATTAAAGTGTTGTCCAGGTCGAGCAAAAATGAATCACCGCACCGGCGACACTGGTTGTGATTTCTAACCAGGGACTGTGCCAACTTTATTTGGCGTGGGCTTTTTGTGCTCGCCATTGGATGGGTCTGGGGAAAGAGCAGGGGGCTTGTGAGGGATGAAGAGGCAGTCCGAGTTCAACTTGATCAGATATCAGATGTGTTCCTTTGGCAGTTTTGTACTCGGCACAGTCATTCGGCTGGTTCCAACTATTATTCTAAGTGAGAGCGGCGTAGAACGAAGACTACCATTATCACTTCGAAAGGAGGAAAAGTAGAAGGTTAGTGGGGCTTGAAGAGCCCGTTGGTACCATTTTCCAGTGAATTGACGGGGGTACAATTGATGCGCCGACCTTGATTCCTCTGACATGGACACAAGTCTTGACTGAGACGACCAGCCCAAAAGACAAACGCAACCTTGGCTTCGGCAAGTCAAGAGAGAGAAGAAGTGTGAGACTTAAGCTACAGGAACCACCGACACACCACCGCAGCGTGAAAGAGCCAAACGACAGACGGAACCAGATGACCGACCAACATCAGCAAGCAGCAGCAGGAACCACCACAGGGACCACCAGGGACCACCAGGAACCACCACAGACAGCAGGAGGAACCACCAAAGGCACCGCCAAAGGAACCACCACAGGGACCACCAACATCAGCAAGCAGCAGGAACCACCCAGGGACCAACATCAGCAAGCGCAGCAGAACCACACAGGAACCACCAAGGAACCACCAACAGCAGCAGAACCACACAGGCACCACCACAGGGACCACCACAGGAACCACCAGCAATGGAGCACTAGGCAACCATCACAACCACAGGAACCACAAAACCACCACAGGCACCGACAGGAACCCCAGAGGGACCACCACAGGACCACCAACAGGGACAAGGTTGTAGTACTCTTGGATCATCATGTCGAAAATGGAACTCCTAAGAGACTTTCGATCAAATCCAGGCCATAGAGCCTAGTCAATGGAGCACTAGCGACCAACCGACCAAACCACAGGAACCACCAACAGCAGCAGGAACCACCACAGGCACAGCCACAGGGACCACCACAGGAACCACCAGCAATGGAGCACTAGGCAACCATCCAAACCACAGGAACCACCACAGGCACCGCACAGGAACCCAGGAACCTCCAAGGACCACACAGGGACCACCAACAGGGCAAGGTTGTAGTACTCTTTGATCATCATGTCGAAATTGGAACCTCCTAAGAGACTTCGATCAAATCCAAGGGCCATAGAGCACTAGTCATGGAGCACTAGGCGACCAACCGACCAAACCACAGGAACCACCAACAGCACAGGAACCAACCCAGCACCACCACAGGACCACCAGGAACCACGCCAATGGAGCACTAGGCAACCATCCAACCACAGGAACCACCACAGGAACCACCACAGGCACCGCCACAGGAACCTCCAGGGGGACCACCAACAGGGACAAAGTTGTAGACTCTTGGATATCATGTCGAAATTGGAACCTCCTAAGGACTTTCGATCAAATCCAAGGCCATAGAGCACTAGTCAATGGAGCACTAGGCGACCAACCGACCAACCACAGGAAACACAACAGCAGCAGGAACCACCACAGGCACCACCACAGGGACCACACAAGGACCACCAGCAATGGAGCACTAGGCACATCCAAACCACAGGAACCACCACAGGAACCCCCACAGGCACCCACAGAACCTCCAGAGGGACCACCACAGGGACACCAACAGGACAAGGTTGTGTACTCTTGGATCATCATTCGAAATTGGAACCTTAAGAGACTTTCGATCAAATCCAAGGGCCATAGAGCACTAGTCAATGGAGCACTAGGCGAACAACGACCAACCACAGGAACCACAACAGCAGCAGGACCACCACAGGCACCACAGGAACCACCAACAGCAGCAGGAACCACCACAGGCACCACCACAGGGACCACCACAGGAACCACCAGCAATGGAGCACTAGGCAACCATCCAAACCACAGGAACCACCACAGGACCACCACAGCACCGCCACGGAACCCAGAGGACCACCAAGGGACAAGTTGTAGTACTTTGGATCATCATGTCGAAATTGGAACCTCCTAGAGACTTTCGATCAAATCCAAGGGCCATAGAGCATAGTCAATGGAGCACTAGGCACCCACCAAACCACCAGAACCACCAACAGCAGCAGGAACCACCACAGGCACCACCACAGGAACCCACAGGAACCACCAGCAACATTAGCACTAGGCAACCATCCAAACACAGACCACCACAGGAACCACCACAGGCACCGCCACAGGAACCTCCAGAGGGACCACCCACAGGGACCACCAACAGGGACAAGGTTGTAGTACTCTTGGATCATCATGTCGAAATTGGAACCTCCTAAGAGACTTTCGATCAAATCCAAGGGCCATAGAGCACTAGTCAATGAGCACTAGGCGACCAACCGACCAAACCACAGGAACACCCAACAGCAGCAGGAACCACACAGGCACCACACAGGACCACCACAGGAACCACCAGCAATGAGCACTAGGCAACACATCCAAACACAGGAACCAACACAGGAACACCACAGGCACCGCCACAGGAACCTCCAGAGGGACCACCACAGGACCACCAACAGGGACAAGGTGTAGACTCTTGGATCATCATGTCGAAATGGAACCTCCTAAGAGACTTTCGATCAAATCCAAGGGCCATAGAGCACTAGTCAATGGAGCACTAGGCGACCAACCGACAACCACAGGAACCACCAACAGCACAGGAACCACCACACCACAGAACCACAACAGCAGCAGGAACCACCACAGGCCCACCACAGGACCACCACAGGAACCACCAGCAATGGAGCACTAGGCAACCAACCAAACCACAGGAACCACACAGGAACCACCACAGGCACCGCCACAGGAACCCAGAGGGACCACCAACAGGGACAAGGTTGTAGTACTCTTGGATCATCATGTCGAAATTGGAACCTCCTAAGAGACTTTCGATCAAATCCAAGGGCCATAGAGCACTAGTCAATGGAGCACTAGGCGACCAACCGACCAACCACAGGAACCACCAACAGCAGCAGGAACCACCACAGGCACACCACAGGGACCACCACAGGAACCACCAGCAATGGAGCACTAGGCAACCATCCAAACCACAGGAACCACCACAGGAACCACCACAGGCACCGCAACAGGAACCTCCAGAGGGACCACCACAGGGACCACCAACAGGGACAAGGTTGTAGTACTCTTGGATCATCATGTCGAAATTGGAACCTCCTAAGAGACTTTCGATCAAATCCAAGGGCCATAGAGCACTAGTCAATGGAGCACTAGGCGACCAACCGACCAAACCACAGGAACCACCAACAGCAGCAGAACCACCACAGGCACCACCACAGGGACCACCACAGAACCACCAGCAATGGAGCACTAGGCAACCATCAAACCACAGAACCACCACAGGAACCACCACAGGCACCGCCACAGGAACCTCCAGAGGGACCACCACAGGGACCACCAACAGGGACAAGGTTGTAGTACTCTTGGATCATCATGTCGAAATTGGAACCTCCTAAGAGACTTTCGATCAAATCCAAGGGCCATGGAGCACTAGGCAATGGAGCACTAGGCGACCAACCAAACAAACCAACCACAGGAACCACCACAGGGACCACCAGGAACCACCACAGGGACCACCAACATCAGTACCGGGCAAGTCAATCTCCGGAAGGAGCTGCTGAACAAATGCAGCACCGGAAAATGGCACCAATGATGAGAATCTTGTCAGAGAAGAATGTGAACTGACCTTTCGTCGGCTGATGAAACTCGAACACAAAAACGAACAGCAGACGAAGGTCTTGTTTGCCTTGGAGAAGAAAGGGGAAAACGTGATCCGACTTGCGCTGAGAGAGGCAAAAGCAGACTTTGGTTCAGCTTCTAAAAGTTTCTGTCCCCAGGTACCTTCTCAAGGTTCAAACAAACTCCGAACTACTAATGTCATGCATGCAGCGGCGTTCACTAGCGGACCGTAGCTGTTGACCTTGACCAAACGGAGCCAGCCAACAAGGAAATAGCCCACAGGAACCACCAACTCGGAAAACTCCTCCGAAGAAGTCTTTTTTCGGATCAAATCCTTGCACCAGGAAGCACCAACCGAGACCGAACGGCGACCCGCGAAGCAGGAAACCCAACGTAGCCGACGGCGTGCCCACGAGCTAAGCACGACCCTCAAAGAAGACTCACAGTGAAGAAGAAGAAGGTAAAGTAAAAGCAGGACGGTTAGAAGGCTTGTTGCAATATCAAATGAAGAAATGAAAGACTGGTTCCGGCGAAGAGCAAATGGAACGGACTCATGAAATGGCCGCCCACTCACTCCTCTAACAAGGCTCGAAGCAGCCCACGAAGGAGCACCGGAAAGTGTTACAACTTGAGAGAGAAGTGTATGGAACTGACCTTTTGCTGAGATGGTTTGCGTTTCCAAAGGATTGACCGTTGGTGAATTGGATGATTGATGATGGATGCGACGAACCACCGCAAGACAACACCATTGCCGGCGAAGAGTGAACTGTGGGCCCCACAGGGGAAGCCCAATCACTCTCCTGCAAGCAGCACCGGCAAAGGTGTCATCGTCATGCATTGGAAGAAGAAGTTGTTGTTTGTGCGAGAAAAAGTGCTTGTTTGAGGCAACGATTGTTTGAGGCTGCATTTGACCGTTTCCTTTTTGATTTGAGGCAAACGTCGTTTTGTTTCTGACGAAGCTTTTTGAAATCAAAAAGAAATCTTCAAACTGAAACGACTTGACGTCACCTTTGTTCGCAAAGGTACGTATGCTACCATATTTCGGAAGTTGCTTCCAACAAATCCTTGCCTTCTAACGTCGTCAATACCTGTAGCAGAGGTCTAATGCCACGGTATGCATGCATATGGTCGGCACAATCAGTTTTGACCAAGAAGAATAAAGAATGAAGATCCGTCGAGAAGAATACTACATTGTGGGCTGTCACTCTCGCCTTGCTCCAACGGTCACAGCGAAGGGCACAAATGCCCAAATAGACTTACAGTATTTGCCGTACTTAGGGTCACTTGAAAATCTTAGAGAATTTCCGCTTCCAGGAAGATCCTTGGAGCACTCGTGAAAGGTTGAAGGACAGACAATATTTTTAATGCATCGAAGCGATGTCAAGCCATCCAAAGGCTCATTTTGCGGAGAGCGTGGGAAAGTCTCACTTCCCGAGCACCATGCTACATGTATGATGAGGGAGTACTAGTAGTATGTTGGTGAAGCTGATGTTGCTACATGACTGTGCGGCGCATGAGATGGTGTTGTCAATGGAATGTACGATGGCGTGAGAGTGATCGTTTACTTACACTGAAGGGGATGATGACATGGTGATACCCCTCCTGTTATCTTACCCACGGAGCAACATGAGACTTTCGGTGGATGCTACCGCAGCTGCTGATAATGGCGTCATGTACCGGTACATTATCGTATACTATTAATAGTAGTCTATTACTCGCTACATGTAGCCCAGCATGTTCTTGATACACATCAGTAGCTTACTCTAGCTAGTAGCTAGAGGTAGGTACCAAGTCCTAGTACCGGTGTGTATCTCCAAGACAACAACCCAGTCGAGCGGACCAATGTTTTCCACGTTCCACGCTTTTTAAAAGTGTTGAAGCAATAAGCCCGCCGACTGCTTAGATTGCCGCCAACAGGTGCGTTTTTTGCAGCTGCTAGTCTAGTATTCGTACAGTACGGCATCATCAATCCTAGACGTGATGGCGACGGCAACGACAATGATGGTGACAACGATCCAGAAGAAGAGGAGGAAGAAGAACAGCACGATGGCGGCCACAACAACAACAATGGAAATCACATTGATCCAGAAGAAGAAGCAAAAAAGCATCAAGATGGCGACAACAACGACGGCAATGGTGAGGACAAAACGGATGCGCAACAGCAACCACCTCAGATGTTGGAGGAACCCAATCAGGCTGCCCTTGAAGACGTTGGTGGTGACAGCAACAACGACAACGACAACGACAACAACACTGATGCCCAAATGCCCAAGAAGAAGAAGAGAAGTGCTCTTACCTTTTAAATGCTGAACATGACAATGCAAACTATGTGACCTTCTTTGAAAGGACCCACAAGAACCCCTCAAAGACTCAGAAATCCAAATAGCAACTTTACATAACTTTTAGCCCCTCCTCTCTGTTTTCTTTGGTTTCTTCCCCGAAGTCCGTGCCTTCAAAGATTGCACTTCGCCTGCACGACTCTGCGTACTGTAGTCAAGGAATAGCGGTGCTTCGCTAGCCCTTAGACTCGAAGGCTCGAGGAGGTGGTGACTGATTGCACTCGTCCAGCTGAAGACCCAGCAAATTGACAGTAATACAGCGCAGAACGGTACTAGCTAGTGGGGTACGGTACCGTACCGTACCGTACCGTACCGTACCGTACCGTACGGTACTAGCTAGTAGGGCATGCAACGTTTTAAAAAAGTGTGACTGCGCCTGGCAACTGACGAGAAGGCTTCGCGCCAAACGGAAGATCAAATCTCTATCACTGTGGCGAAAACTTGACTTGAAAGTCAAAGTTCAAGAGCTAACCTGGGCATCAGAAGCCACCCAAAGAACACCAATTAAACTGTAGTTACGAGCCAGCTACCAGTTACCCTGTATACGGTCTCTACCGGTAGCTAGATAATAGAGGGGAGATAACCCATCATTTCAACAACAACCTACCGTAGCTGACAGCTGCTCAGACCAACCCATGCTTGCACTCTTGTTATTGACAGTTCCTGCATTGCAACCAACATTCAAATCAGATTCTGTCAGCTGACTTCTTGGCAGCAAAGGGCTATCTCCCTCCTTGGAGAGCCATGGCCATAGACATACCAGTTCCGGTTGCCATTCAGATTCTACGAAGAGAGAGAGAGAGATTGGTTCTGGTCGTCCAGCTTCTACATGCCGAAGAGAGATTGATCTACTTGACTGAGGAGGAATCAGGGAAGGCAGACAACAGTCATAGGGCGTACCCGTACGGTAGCATCACCGTACCGCACACGTGTACGGTACGGTACAGTACGGTACCGAGCCGAACAAGGTGAGTGATGATAACTAAAAGAAGCGAATTTTGGTCTACCGCCACTGTCGAGGTCTCGGGAGTGCTAGCAACCGCTGGCTATTAGCAGCCTCATGTAAGTGTGACTGCGCCATTTTGGAAGGAAAAGGCTGGCAAGCTGAGAGAAAGCGTCCCGGCAAGCACACGGAACTCTATACACTGTGGGCAGAACTTTTAGGCATGAAAGTCAGTTCAATAGCTAACGTGGGCATCAGAAGCCACCCAAAGAGCCACCACTTTAAACTGTAGTTACGAGCCAGCTACCAGTACCTGTACTGGTGTACTGGTGGCTGCCAGTATTGATGGAAGAAAGGTGGTAACGAGCCACCGCTCACATTTTCGTTGCTCAGCGAGCACCCACTTTTGTAAGGATGGACTGTGGCACCCTCCAAATTTTCCAATGGCAACGCTTAGAAGAAACATCAATCATAGCGTACGCCTTGGTCGCAAGATTTATTGCAACGGTCCAATTGACACCCAGCACCTCAACGGTCGCCCCAGATTCAGCACCATTGCTGCTTTCGTGAATGACACAGATGGAAGCAGTTGTGGCATTCATCGATCGTACGAATTCAAAGCTTGGTTGACTATTGTAAGACTCGACCAGCAGTGAAGGTCGCATTGGCTCATTGTCGAAAGATCAGCCGAGACGAAACGGTGGTCAGCAACAGCCTGGAGGTGCGGAGCGCACAGATTCAGTTTTGCAAAAGCAATCCATTACGAAGAGCGGAAGGAATGAGTGACAGTCACAATGAACATACGGAAAAGACATTGGCCAAGCTTGAGTCCTCCTCGGAGATAACCCATGGCGAAGCACAGCCTGAGACGGTGACGCTAGATGGAGCTTACCAAATGGCTTCGAAGGCGTCGTCGATTTCCGCAGCAACCGCAGCATCTTTGGTAGAGTACGTAACTGCATCGCACAGTAGCGTAGTAAGCTGGTGGAACGGCAAAGAAATCACTGAACTTGAAGAATGTGCCGCTAGTGGCTGTGGCCCCATCGTGGAATCGTCGAATGGCGACAGCAGTGGAAGGGAACCAAATGCACTTCGTACTCATCAGAGTTTGCACCAACTTGATGGTGCTGCAGGTACCGGTAATAGCGAAGCTCATCGAAGTCACGAGCACAGGGACCAACCGCATCATCATGTAAGAAAGCATAGGCAACGAAAACAGCGCACTGAACAAACGGAGCGCCAAGAGCCTGAAGGAGACCGAACAGGAGAGCCTCGAACTCAAAACCGCGACCAGGGTTTCCCCCAAAATCAAACAGAGCAGCATACGGATGAACCACTGTCATTGTCATTGGCACAGTCGCAGCGGCAATCGCGAGAATGTCTGGTCGATGTGGAAGCTGAAAAAGCCACCTATTGGTCTGCGTTGTACACCATCCTTGAAACCCAGCGGGCAGAAATTCTGCGCACGACCCATTCGACGAAGCCCAACCAGCCGGTCGATCCATCGGGGCTCATAGATATACTCAAAGATCCATCGTCAGTCCTCCATGAATTGATCTTTGACAAAGAAGATTTAGTCAGAGCGAAAAAGGGAACGTCCGTGGTCACCACTGCGACAGCAAATCTTACATGTACTGCCACAGACACTGATTCTTCATCAAGTGGATCCTCTCCTCAGTATCTCCATAGTCAGATCGGCAACGACAGACACCAAGAACCTGATGATAGCAACAGCTCCTGTAGAGACGAATGGGCCGGGTTTGTACGGCGAATTGGCAAGCTTATCACGATCTTCCTGACGGCATGCGCCGGAGTTGCAGCCCGCAACCCGCACCGCTGCATCGCCTGGACAACACTGTTATCCCTCACCTTAGTGGTCGTTGGCTGCTTGACAAACTTTACCCTCGTGTTGGACAACACGGAATTGTGGCCACCCCACAGCAGCTTTGCCTATCAGCAAATGCTCTGGTTCTACGATTCTGATTTCAATTTCGATTACCGCAATGTTGATCTAGTGATTCATGCAGAGGGGGCCAATGTGCTGACCCAAGCTGGAGTGTCCCGTGTTTTTGAGGCTATGAGTGTGGTTCAAGGCATGGAAAACTACCAAGAAGGCTGCCGGTGGGCGGAGCTCGTTGGGGATTCGTACCACGTTGGTGAATGTCACGAACACAGTGTGACAGACTTTTGGAATCGAAGCAATTTCGTTTTCGAACAAGAAACACAATCGGACGAACAGGCCAGATTGACCATGTCCGTGCCTTCGTATCCCAGCGGCGAAACCGTCGACCTCTCTCGCATCATTGGAAATGCTAAAAAAGACAAGAATGGCACACTCACAACTGGTGAGGCTTTTCTTGTCGAATTTGACCTGCCTTGGAGCCTCGAGACAGCGGAATTCGAGCTCATTGCTGTAAACGCTCTGCTGGAACTCAAAGAGAAGTGGAAAGCTGAAGACAGCAACCCGTTTCGCCTTGAGGTAGTGGCGTATCGGTCGTACGAAGACGAGTTCATGCGGGCCATTATTTTGGATCTACCACTTCTGCCAGCTGTCTTCGTTGTCGTTTGCCTCTTCTGCTGCCTGGTCTTTTGGCGGTACGACAAGGTCCACTCGCGCTGTCTCTTGGGAATTGGAGCTGTCGTCTGCATCTTGCTTTCCATAATGGCAAGTCACGGCCTCATGTTTCTTTGTGGGGTTCCTTTCACTACAAGTACGAGTATGCTTCCGTTCCTGATGTTTGGTACGTCATTTCAGAGCTCTGAGCAGAAGCTGGTTCGTTTGTGTCCAGCCAGTACTAACTTTTCGTTTTGGTTCTAGGAATTGGCTTGGATGATGCCTTCGTTATCATTGGCAGCTACAACAGAACACGTGGTACTGACATTGAAAAGCGCATCCAGTTGACAATGGAAGACATCAGTTTGAGCATCGGCATCACAACATTGACGAGCTCTCTAGCTTTTGCTTTGGGTATCTTCTCCGACATCCCCTCTGTTCGATGGCTCTGTTTGTATGCATGCCCAAGCATTCTCATTGACTTTGCCTATCAGATCACCTTCTTCATTGCGCTCATCGTGCTCGACGAGAGGCGTATCCAAGATAATCGAAGAGACGGCTGCGCCTGGATCCACGTTGAAGATGATTCTCGCAAAGGAGGACGAGAAGCGGAAGACGAAGACGACGAATGTGGACTTGCAAATGGAGAAGATACGGCCACGATCGTGAAAGCGGATGCTGAACGAATCCCACCACTGGCCATGCCTAAGCTGCACTGGTCGGACCGATTCATGGCTTGGTATGCAGACAAGCTGTTGCACCCCATCTCTCAAACGATTGTGCTTGTGGGTTTTGTGACATTGCTGGGTGTGTCTCTATTCTTTATAACGAGGCTCGAGCAACATTTCGACATGAATGACATGGTGCCGCATGATTCCTACTTGCGGGGTTACTACTCCTCGCTGAAACACTACAGCAACACACGGAACGGGATCGCATCCTATGCATTCTTTCGAGATATTGATCAATCGGACCCTCAAGTTCAAACAGAGATGCTTCAATTCGTTGACGAACTGGCCGATGGCGGAGCAATTGCATCATACCCAGCAAACTGTTGGCTTCCCGACTTCTTGCAGTTTACCAACACGTCTTCAGGTGCAACCAATCTATCATTTACGGATCAAGTGGAGCTTTTCCTGCAAGAGCCGGTTTTCAACATGCTGTACGACGACCACATTGTCCGGACGCCCAATGGAAGCATCGCGGAGTCGCGATGCGAAATCTATGTGAACGTGGACATTAGTGACGCCCAAGGGGGGACTGCTGCCTTCGAGCTTCTCCGAAATGTTTCTAGGTCACAAGCAATGAACCAAGGCCTAGGCGGTGACGAGTGGCACATGTTTACCTATCACGACATGTACAACTTGTGGGAATTTTACAAGGCAGTGGTGGCCGAGCTAAGCGTCTCCACAATCATGGGGATTGCCGCTGTCAGTATCGTTGCCCTCTTCTTGATTCCACATTGGTCAGCGGTCTTCTTTGTGACTCCATTGATCATCTGCCTCTACATTGACCTGCTTGGTAAGTTTGACCCTTTGTTTGACCGCTCTTACCCACCTCATTGTGATTTTGTCCAACCTCACTCATTTACTTGTTTGTTTTGCTTGCTTTTCAGGATACATCACCTATGCCAAGGTCCATGTGAATGCCATTAGCTATGTTCAGCTCGTCATGAGTATTGGTCTGATGGTTGATTTCATCATGCACATATTGATTCGATACTATGAAAGTGAGGGAAGTCGACGAGTGAGAGTGAAGCACACTCTGACAACAATGGGATCCTCTGTGTTTGTTGGCGGAGTTTCATCCTTGCTGGGGGTGAGCCTGTTGGCCTTCAGTACAAGTGAAATCTTGCAGCTGGTCTTTGTGGCCGTCCTAGGACTTGTGGTGCTGGGAATTGTGCATGGTTTGGTGTTTCTTCCTGTCATATTGTCGCTGATAGGACCAGAGTGAACTTATTGAGTGCTGTAAACATATTTGCTCTCTCCGCTGTCCAGCTTGTGAACTGAATAGAAAACTACTATAGAAAGCTATTGCATGTTCAAAATGCTACACAGTGAACGTACATGTAGATCTAGCTAGCCTAAGAGAAACCGCAAGACAATGTTTTGAGAGGTAGTAAAGGTAGTAAAGGTAAAAATAGGGTTAAAACGCATCTACCTCACGGCAAAGGTGTCTTCCAGCCAACAAGGGTCGGGTACTGGCACTAGCTGTGCATAGAAAGGCCACGAGATTGTAGGTACCGGTACATGTACCGCCCAGCTCAGCCCCAGCTCCCATATCGTGATTACATGTATAACTGGTGGGTCCTAACTCGCTATCTACATGTAGGTGCAATGGGAAGCTCTGTCGCGACATCCTGTGTGTTACCCACGTGGTATCCAACCCTGGCTCTCATTATTTTAGCTTTCGTCTCATCAACAAGCTGAAGTGTGTGGCTGCACCCTCCATTCTCTCTCAGTCTCTGTTCTCGAACTACGCCTCGTCTCGCCTCCTCAAGATGAATCTGATTACTGCTTCTCCTGGGTGCAAGAGTCTCATGTTGGCTTGGCGCCTCCATCAACAAGCTGTCGTTGCCCAGTGCCTGCAAGGCCTGTCAGAGGAAGACAAGGAGTTCTGGGCCTTCTTTTGGGACAACCTCTCGGATGAGTTCAAGGTCGTCGTTGTGGTTGGAGACAGCAAGCCAGGATTGCCTTCATGAATTTGGTCACAAAGTGTCTTCCCTTGACGAGTTCGAACTACCAGTGAAAGAACTAGCCAAAGCTGTGGCTTTCTTGCACTATGACTTCGCGTCGCTCGAGGCTGCCGAACAGCTCGTCAACAGCCCAAACAACAACGACGATTATCACGACCAGGATGGCGCTTTCAGTGTTGCGGCCGTCTTTGATGCAGCAGTCAGCCAGGGTATTCAACGACGGGACCAGAGTGTGATCCTTCAAGACCCCGTGGCCCAGGCTCAAGTCCAACAAGTCTTGACTTCGGTACTCGATGCTCTCCTACGCATCCCTGATTTTGGGACCCTCCGCACCCTCCACACCCTCCACAACGCATTGCTTCGTCGCCGGGAAACGGATCGGGGTGCAACAGTCATGATCCAGGCAGCCGCTCGTGGATATTCGGACCGTCGAATGGACAGTCGGGTTTCCAAGAAGATACTCTTTTCCAGTCAGGCGCTGAAGGCACTGTTCGGGACTACCGCCTTCCAAACCTTTTTCAACAAAGTGGCCGTGGCGAATCATGATCCCAAGAAGCTTCGCATGACCTGGCTGGAAGGTTTGGCATTGGAGATGATCCAAGAAGCTGTGCCCCAACTGTGCGGTCACGTTTCCGGACGCCGGCCTTTCGCATGAATACAAGCATACAAGCGCATGGTCCCGACCAACAAGGCCATGGTCCGGGCTGTCAATGACTTGGTTGCTGTCATGGTCAAGGGGATCTCGGCAATTTTATCCCAAACTACGCTGTCGTGACTTGCACAGGTCTCCAAGGTCAACAGCTCTACAAGGCCATGGTGGAGCTGTTCTGCCAGAACATGGGGACTAATCTCCGGAGCAATATGTTGTCCAACGCTACAGATATCATCCATGATGGCTATGGCAAGGACGACAATGGAGTTGCTTTTGACCTCTCGCGATTCTTTCGCCGCTCCTACTTCGACTTCCCCCGAAGACTCAGAATGCCAGGAGCTATGTGCTCTCGCGGAAGATGGCGAAAAGGAGGCCATCGTGGCTCATTTGGACGACATGTCCAGCGAGTTGCTGTAAGCATCTCCGTCGTCTTCTTCCGACTTGTTGTGCTGTACCTGTAGTTTGTTTGGCAGCTACCGTACTCACTGACCACTTTTCCAACCCTTGCTCTGCATGCAGGAGCTACCATATGTTTTCGACCATTGCCGTACCGGTACCGGTAGGCTGGTCTATGCAATGCTCCTGTGAGCTGTGAGCTGCTCCAGCCTTGGCTTGGATTGTAGTGCCCATGCGTCGCCGCAATACTAGTAGGTCACCTTTTCGATCACCGTTTGGGACCCATGAGGCTATAATGCGGGTACGGTTGAGATTACAGTACAGCTTCTGAGAGTAAAAAGGATGGGGGACCAGCTGGTCATAGTTATGTTCTCTGCCATAGACCTGTTTTAAAGCTCTAGCTCACACCCATTTCCGCCATGATCATGCGGGAGTTGGACCAAAACAGTTGGCCACGAATAGCAGATGTCTCGTGAAGGAAGATTCAAACCAAAACTATTCTGAGAACACTCAAGTCATTGATCTCGATCATCACAAGCACAAATTTTAAATCATTACAAAGCTGAAGTGTGTGGCTGCTCTCTCGCTCTCTTACATGTACTTTGCCTTAGACCAAGATGCCTCCTTTGGACAACGGCGAGCTTCCATTTCCAGAGTATCCACTGTGTCCATGCAAGTGCACAATGTGTCCATGCAAGCGCAAGCTTCTTGAGGAGCTTGAGGAGAGGCACCTTCTTCTTGAGGACATGAACCGTCTTCGTGAGGAGAGGAGCCGTCTTCGTAAGGACACGAACCGTCTTCGTGAAAAGAACCGTCTTGAGAAGGCGCGCAAGAAACAACTCCAGGAAGAGGTAAGTGCAACAAGCCAAGCCATGCAAGCATACCGGTACCGTAGAGTAGCTAACTGAGCCACTTGACTTGGTCCCCTCTGCAGACTCAGCGGCTGCAGGAAGCCATCAAGAAGCAGCCTGAGCAGTTGCAGAAGAAAGCCGACAAGGACCCGCCCCCCCCCCCCCTACTGGTACCAGTACCGGTATCCAGACAGGCATCCCCATTACCTACCAGTACCCTATAACACATTAGTTAGATATGATCATGTTTCAATCAAAATGGCGGCCACTCTGTGTTCGCGGCGCAAGGACTGAGCCGCGTTACCCTTTGTAGGCTAAGTGGACTGATCAGTGCTCGCCATTCATCTTTGTGGCACGCAACTGCAGTCGTGCTCCTATAGCCAAGTGATCACTGGGCCAAACATCACTGGGGAGAAGATGTCCATAGCTCAATTCTTGATCGTTGCTGAGTTCTTTGTGTGTAGTGGGAACGTAAAGTCGATCCGTCGCCACGAGGGACTTGCTACCGTAAAAGATGTAATCGAGGCACCCTTCAAAATCGCGAGTCACATTCGTAAATGGTAGCAGCTCATCAGCAGCATCTCCTTCTTCCGTCTCGCCACATGATCTGCTGCTGTCTTTGTTGTAGACACTCTGTAAATGTTGTTGCTGTAATGGACACGTCAATCGTCCCTCCTTTAGCCATTCAGATACTTGCAGCTTGAGTTTCAACAACTCACTCCCTTTCATGGTCCAGTCCCAGCCTCGTTTTCTCTCGGCTGCCACATCCACGTGCTCAAACATGTGTCGCCGCGTCTCGGTTGTGGGGACATGGGCACGGAGGCAGAGTTGATACAAACGAGTGGCTTGATCCTTGACGCGTGACGCCGAACTCTCGGGTCGATCACTCCACCAGTATCCCTGTTCACAACCATTACATTGATAGACAGCCAGATCTTCCGACTCTTCGACAGGAGCTTGATGCTTGTCAAATATTTGTCGTTTCCGAGTTGTATCGTGAACGGCATGAATGGTACCATTGCAAACGACACAGCGTGTCAAGAATTTGCTGGGATCCAAGGTGATCCCGTGTGTCAGAAGCACGTGCACCAGTACAATTTCCCAATTGGCCGCCAATGATTTTGGACGAATGAGGTAAGTCCCTGGGGGACAATTCGTTCGTTCGAGGAGTGTATTGGATGTGGTAATGAGAACCCTTCCCTGTTGCTGACATTGTTCAAAGACGACAATGTTTCCATCTTTGGTGCGTTGTATTTCTTGGTCGGCCGTTTCGAGAGCCGCATCGATCCCCAAAATGCGGAACCATCGGCACAGGCGATTGAGCGTGTAGTCCAAAAGATATCTGATTTGTGGACGACTTTGCCGCGGTTGGTGGTGGTGGTGTCTGTTGGATTCATTGGCTGGTGATTCTTCATAGGCAGGCAGTACTACTAATACTGGCATTTTTGTTGTTGAGTCATTGGCGTTGCTGGTGACAGTGAGTGTGGACAGATCTTGTGCAGCAGCGTCAACAGCCGCTCCAGTTCTGCCCTGTTGGGTGTCATCGTCAACGTTGTTGTCCTCGTTGTCTTCATTGTTGTTTTCCTTATTGTTGCAGCACCAAGGAGCCACTAGAGTGGCATTGACGTGTCCATTGGCTAGATAGGCGTGTACGGAACTCTTGGGTAGTGAATTGAAATCTCCACATAGAACAAATGGTTCGCCTGGTTGGTTTAGAAAGTGTTTGACTTGCACCATCAAGTAATGCGTTTGGCACAGTTTGACATATTCATATCTTGGATTCCAGAACAAGTGTGTATTGGCGATTACAATGGTATGGTTGGGATGTGATTTGGATTTGAGCCGGACTATGAGACCGACATTGCGTCGCAGAAAGCTCCGTTGAAGTCCCATGAGATTGTTTCTTATGGATTCAATGCTGCCATCTGGTTCTGCTGGCAAGGTTGCCAAATCATCGAATTGAACGGTTTTGGAATCCAACAATTCCCACTTATCTTTCAGCCAGTAAATACCACAGGAATCTGCCTTTCCTCCAGCCCCACTTCCAATCTTCATGCGTGTGGTTTCCATGGCTTGGTAATTGGTAGTTGTTGGACTTAGAAACTTGGTTTTGATTTCATCCATGTCCACTTCTTGCAAGGCCCAAAAGTCTGGTGGATCAGTCTTGTCATTGTCATTGTCATTGCCATTACATGGATTGAAAGTGCTTGAAAGTATCTTTCTAATCAAGCTGCCTCTTCGCTCCTTTTGAAAGACTACCTGCTGGTACTGGGTAGGCAATCCCGGATGAGACGTGCGACTGCAGTAGTTTTCTGCCAAGATGTTCCAGCTGATCAGGCTGAAAGATAAACTTGGATTTTTAACTACATCTTTGTCTTCCTCTTCTAATTCTTTTGGTACTACTAGTACAGGTATGGGTTCTATGGGTTCAAAGACTAGGCGGTCTACCCAAGACGCGTTTTTGGAGTCCGAGTCCATGGCTGTTGTGTAACTGTAACGTCTTGTAGTCTTTGGGGTTTTCTTCTTGCCTCGCCCTTTACTAGTGTTATGGTGGGATCGTCGTTGTCTCATGCATGCGATGCAGCTAAGTTAATAAAAAGAAGAGTGTCTATCCTATGCAATGCAGCCAGAGTCGAAGGTTGGTACGGTAGTGGTAGGATGTCTGAAATGCCGTTGGTTTTACTTTTGTTGCAAGGGTTAGAGCTACAGCGAAGAGGTGCACGGTTAGATATCTTTTTGTGTTCCGTGAATGTACGTACATGAAATTGAGCAATCACATCGACCGTGGCTCCGGCCTGGGCGTCAGAGAAGATGCCGTTGCCAATGGCTGGAAACGGGAAAGGCGCCCATTGCGTTCAAGCACCGTAGCTTCCGTGCTCCTTCTTTTGTGTCTTCGTGTTACTCTTGTCGCCGCCCGATTTGATCCGCTGCATGGTCAACAAGACGGCGATCTATCCCAACTTTGTTCAAGCTCTAGAGGAATACCGGTACAACCGGTTGCTCACGCAACTAAGAAAGACAGAACCCAGATTCCAAAAACTTTACCAGTTTAATTAAAGTCGACCCGTCCCACGGACAAGCAAACGCTAACAGCTCAGCCTACTGCTTGCACTTTTCCGACGATTCCATGCTACAGTAGATCCGAGCCGTTTACATCGACGAAATGACTCTTCTTGATTTGATCCAAGAGGTGCAGGGCGTCGTACGTGACCAGGACTCCTTTCGATTGAACGTGCCTAACGTTGGCGTCTATCGGTACTTCGGTTGGAAATCTGCGCTAGAATATATTTATAGTTACATTGCTTCTGGCCACAAAAACAACCGTTTTACAACCTTGTTGCAGCAGCAACTGGTGGAACGAGTACCATACTTTGCCGACAGAAACACTCTTGCAACGACAGCAGTTCAAATCATTGATTGGAATCATGGACAAAAGGTGAAGGTTGCCCCGATCCATCAGGAATGGGAGTTCCGCCCATGTTCAGCAGCCCTTGACGGGTTGACATGCACCTTCGACGATGTCGACGTTGACATCTTTTTGGACCAACGCTATAGCGACCGATATTTGTGCGAGCGCATCATGTCCTTTTGTGTTGGAGATAACCAGCAATATGAATCGAATCGATTGAAGACTGCACCGAGTCCATGGGTGGCCTACCGGAGAGTGATCCTGCTTGCGATCGCACCTCGCATTCGGCGCTTGACCAAGTCTCGTATTCCCTGGAAGGAAACACATCAGCATGTCGCTTTCTTCACCACTTCATGGCAGCTCCTGACTTCACACCAGATGTCCATTGTCCACATGTAGGAGAAGAAGGCGGCCCAGACCCTAACGATGGCTACAAGTGCAGCTCTGCTGCGTGTCAAACCACAAAGTATACCAAACTCACCAGCACTGCAATACTTCCAACCTGCCAAGCAGAATGGAAGCATGAAAGTGAGCTTGCTTTTAGTTGCAGCACTCCCGATGTGTCTGGACGCCATTAGTACTGGCATGTGTACAGACACCTGCAAGCAAGCGCTTTCGCAGTTTGCACTGTCGGGGTATACACAGAGTACTGACTTCTCAAAGCTCAACCGGGGTCTCTCGCTCCGAACAAGAACTTGTGTTTGTTCCAAAGGAATAGAAGAAGACGCCGTGTCCAGTGTGTTGAAGAGGATTCCCTTCTCAGCGGCAACGATACTGGTTTCTTGTGGTATTCTTGGAAAAGCGGAAGACATCGAGCCCCAATTTGATCCTTGCAAAGTCCAAGTAGACCAGAACGATGAACCATCCCCAGTGCTGTGGGCCGAAGACACCGCTCTTTCTGATGAATTCTTGAAGCAGATTGCTACTGATTTGATCCACAGATCCATCCAAAAAGTGAAGACAGTCGGAGCGCACCACGACGAGAGTCGCCTACAGAGTGAGTCAATGACAATGGATCTTGAGTACTTGAAACACTACAAGGGCAGCAACTATCTGGAGTTAATCCTGGAGTCAAACTGGAAAAGGCGGTTGTCCCTTCTTTCACGGTCCCATTGTGGGCTCTTATGAAGACGTCTTGGGTGTTCTTCAGCAAAAGCAGAAGCGAAGCAGGTCGAAGATCCTCTTCAACGTGGATCTACCCAATGATGAAATGTTTCCAGCCGTAGCCGCTTCTTTGTTTGATACTGGTTCGCCCGAGCATGGAGGTCTTCGAAGAGCGCTTCGAGAGGCTTTCCCTATCCTCTCAAAGACCATTGTGGGGGCCAACAGAGTTGAATTCAAGCCAATACCTGACGAACTTCTGCAGCTATCATTCTCAGATTTGATAAACCCCTCCAAAGATCATTTGGTATCCTTACTATCGTCACTGCTCACATACATTCTGGAGATGTTTTTACCTGAAGCCTCTTCTGCATTTCTTGACGAAATTGCAACGATCTACACACGCTGGATTCTGATGACGGAAGGCGCTACAGTGAGCATATTATTGCAAAGCAAACTCTGGCATTCTCATGCTGGTCAAGGCTTGTTTCGGCTCCATCAACTGCATATGAAACAAGCTGCAGAGATGATTGAGTCATACCTTGGTTCCCGGGAGATGGAAAAATACAGGAGCTACACTGACGATGCGTTGTCGGCTCAAGAAATCTCAAGGAGCTTTGCCGGGGAGCTTTACACCGGGCTGCATATCCTGGTAGTCATTCAGTCCAGTCTCGTCAAGCGAATAGGCCGAAATCCCTGCAAAAACATCAAGGCCTTCAAGAAGAATCCCTTCCAATTCGTTATCGGCTCTTGAATCTACCGATTGCAGGAAACGCTGTCATCGATGAGGGGCTGACGATACAAGCCAACTTCTCGGGTCAAACTGTAGAATACATCGGAGGAGATGAATGGAAATCAGGCTCGCCGTACGCAGTTCAGTATTCCCTTTCGGCAAATAACGACTCCCGCGTATTCGCAAGGCCAGAGGATTTCGATCCCTGGAGGCCGAATCTTGACGACACCTTAACTTTTGGTGCACCGGAGTACACGTTTCAGAGCGGATTGTTCTCCAAAGGCAGCCACTCGGAATCGCAAAAGGTCGGAGCTCGTGGATGTCCAGCCCACAATATTGCGGTAGGTCTTCTCGCCAATATCACCGACCAGTTATTTCAACAGGAGCAGTTTGGTTATGAGAGACAGTACAAGTCATTACAACATGGGTGCTCGTTCTGACAGTTTTCGTGACTGCTTTCCTAGCTTGGCTGGGTTTGTCGTTGCTGGTAAGACCCCGCCTTCAGAAGTTCGAAAGCGCGTTGAAGGCTCCTCTCCCCAAGGAATCAACCAAAGGCACCTTTGCTGAGAGCAACATCGAGGACGACCGAGTGGAGGAGCGAAAATTGACCATTCGAAATCTGTGCCTTGTGAAGAGAAGTCGACAACGCCGTCTCATCCCTGCGACGGGATACAGCTTACAATTCAGCTTTACAGCTTTACAATTAGCAGGCTTATTCTAGAAAATAATCAATAACTGCCTCACTTATTTGGAAATACAAACTTTACATCTCTTAGATCTCTAGACTAGTCAATGCACAATGGTATTGTCGCATGGTAGCATGCGTGGTTATGAGATGTTACTCATTCTTGTTCTTATATGTCTATCCCTTATGGTTGTCAATGGAATGAGCTATCCCTTGATGCAGAGTCCTGAGTTTCCTCTCATTATCTTCATCGGTAGTCCTTCCCCTTATTGCAACTTAATTCCCTTGGATTCGCTCGCAAGCAATCCCCTTGTCAACCTGCTGGATTCGCTCGTAAACAATCCCCTTGTTCTTTATCCTATCGTGGATCGAAATCGCGATGAGGACCCTATCTTGGATTCGCTCGAAAGCAATCCTCCCCTTGTTCCTATTGACGATCGTAATCTCAATGAGGATCCTTTTATCTATTACGATCGATCGATCGCTGCAGCAGCCACTACTGTTACTACAGTTACTGTTACTGCTACTACTGGTATCTCTATCACCGGCAAAGCCTTATTGCCTCATCTCCGAGTCGATCGCGATCGATCGATCCAAGTTAACAGATCGATCCAAGTTAACAAAATTCATCAAAAAATGGATATCAACTGCATATCGAAGGCTCGGCTTGTGTGTCATGCTTCGAGCTTAAGTCTTTTATTGAGTCATGCTTCAGTTCCTCACTTTTTCATTAACTCGACGGAGAGGTACACTGATGTTGTTTCGCACAACAACAACACGGAACGGCGATGGAACAACAACAAACTGCCGATCGATAACAACAAGCTCAGTCTACCTAGGACTGGCATTGGTCGTCTACCTAGGACTGGCATTGGTCGTTTATTTGCCTGGCTTGCAGATAGCTGGCTTGCAGTTGGTCGTTCGAACCATTCAAACGAGGATTCGCTCGAAGATTCGCTCGAAGATTCGCTCGTCCGCTTGAAGGATTCATCGATCCCGAAGAAAGCTCATAAACTCCAGCTTCGATTGACTCGATTGACTGGATATCCACCGGCCTCCTCTTGTTGCAGCTCCTGTTGCGCTCCTTCTATTGTTGCCATTGCCATTGCTCCTCTCGTGTGTTGATTCTCACTTGATGGACTTGACGACGCTTCCTCTGCCTCAGCATCTTCATCTTCAACAGCAGGC